TTTGTTTGCTTCAGGTAAATAAATGGCATTGGAGGACAATAATGTTAAGAAGCAGGCAGGCCTCAGAACAGAAAGGTCACATGTTGTCTCTCAATATATGGAGATATATCCAAAAAAATGTATAACAACAAAAGCAAATATAATCTAAATGCACATTTATATGTTGCAACATGTTTGTAATACTGGGGACCTATTTAATGCGGACCCGGGGGGAGGAGGGATGAGGAAAAAAAGATAATCAATAATATCTAATACCATCTTGTTGTATGTAGATGATGTTATGGAATGTACTGAACAGCTGTTAATAATATGGGGTGGGAGGGAAAGGGAGAGTAATAGATGCAATTAATCTTGTCAAGTACAGTATATTCACAGCTGTGATACCTTCAGAAAATCCCTTTGAAGAAATGAATATGGAATTAAAAAATGAAGGAATAAAGTTGTAAGATAGGTTACTGGGAGAGTTGGGGTATTTGTGGGAGGGGGAGGATGAAGGGAAGAGGTAAAGGAGGTTGAATATGTTGATGTACCTTACAGTATTTTAATTAGCAAAAGTAAAAACAATGCGGCCTTTTTTGCATTGAGGGCCGGGGCATGAGGAAGATTGATAGTAGGGGCAAACCTGCAAGGTACAATATGAGGATGTACAGAAATATAACAATGATCCCCTCTGCTGCAACCAATAAAAAATAACATAATGAGTGCATACTTGGTCAGAATAAAACAAGCATGGTTAAAATAAATATGTCATGTATGATTTTAACTCCTCTTATTTAGTAAAGTGGAAGAAAGAAATTACTGTGTAAGCACTGTATATATTTATGTGACACATATTTCTATATGTTGAGTTTATGTTACCATTCATTTAAAACTATTTTATGATCTCTAGTATTAACTTCAGGAATGAATTCATTGGCTAAAACTTTATACAGTTTGTTACATAACTATATAATTCACATATTTAAAACTCAAAATTCAACTGGTTTTAATTTTAGTTACAGGTTGTTCCACCATCAACATAGACAATTTTAGAATGTTTCAATACTTGAAAAGGGAACCTCAGATTCTGCAGGTATCATCTTTATTCCCCATTCTCAACCCTAGTCAACTTCCGTCTACATGTTAGCACACTCTTGGAAAAGTTCATATAAATTAAATGATATGAATATCACATTCTTTGTGACCTGGTTTTCCTGATAACAACACAATGTTCAAGGTTCATGCATTTTGGAACTGTAAAGTTTTTTTTTTTTTATTATTCATATGTGCATACAAGGCTTGGGTCATTTCTCCCCCCTGCCCCCACCCCCTCCCTTACCACCCACTCGCCCCTCCTCTCCCCCCACCCTCTCAATACCCAGCAGAAACTATTTTGCCCTTATTTCTAATTTTGTTGTAGAGAGAGTATAAGCAATAATAGGAAGGAACAAGGGTTTTGCTGGTTGAGATAAGGATAGCTATACAGGGATTGACTCACATTGATTTCCTGTGCTTGGTGTTACCTTCTAGGTTAATTCTTTTTGATCTAACCTTTTCTCTAGTTCCTGGTCCCCTTTTCCTATTGGCCTCAGTTGCTTTTAAGGTATCTGCTTTAGTTTCTCTGCATTAAGGGCAACAAATGCTAGCTAGTTTTTTAGGTGTCTTACCTATCCTCACCCCTCCCTTGTGTGCTAGCTTTTATCATGTGCTCAAAGTCCAATCCCATTGTCCCTAATTTTTTGCTTTAAATAACATTCTATTGTATAGATAGATCACATTTTAATTTACATGTCAATGAAGAAGCATTGGACTTTCATTTTGGCTATTATAGAATAAATGCTTCTATGAACTTTCATGTACATATTTTTGGACATGTATTTTGTTTGTCATGTACATAGGAATTGGTAATTACTGCTCATCTGTTACTCTGTATGCATAATTGCATTTGTGATAATATGCCATACCATTTTCCAAAGTAACTGCAAATATTTGGCCTTTCTACAACCCAGCCATGTGTATATATCCAATTTTTTCACACTTTTCTAACATATGATATTCCTTGTCTTTTAATTATAACCCATCTTGTGTATCTCAAGTACCATTTTTGAATTGATTTTGATTTGCATTTCCCTGATTATAATCATTTGAACAACTTTTTCATTGTCTCTGTGATTTTTGTATATCTTCTTTGGAGAAATGGTGTTAAATCTCAAGCCTATTTTAAAATTGACTTCTTTGTGTGTTTTTGTATTTTTATATTGTAAAGTTATTAAACAAATTCAGGATACTACAATGCTTATCAGAACATGATTAAGACTATTTCTCACATTTTGTGAGTCATCTATTCCTTCATTGATATCAATTCAACTCAAAAGTCTTTAGTTTGTGATAAGAGTTCAGTTTCATCATTCTGAGCGAGGTCAGCCAGGCTCAAAAGACCAAAAATCGTATGTTCTCCCTCATATGTGGACTTTAGATCTAAGGGCAAATACAGCAACGTGGTTAGACTGGCTCACATGACAAGGGGAGAGCACATACGGGAGATATAGGAATAGGTAGAAAACCCAAAACATGAAAGCGTTTGATTTCCTACTGCAGAGGAACTAATACAGAAACCTTAAAGCGACAGAGGTCAACACAAGAAGGGGATCAGGAACCATGTAAAGATCAGTTAGAGATGAACAACTTGTGTTTAGCACATTTGTACATGAAAGCAATGCTAGGAATCTCTCTGTATAGCTATCCTTAACTCACTAGCAAAAATGCTTTGTCTTCCTTATTATGCTTATGTCTTCTTTGGACAAAATTAGAGATAAGGCAGAACAGGTTCTGCCTGGAAGTTGGAGGGGGAGGAGGGAGAAGGAGGGGGAGGGGGACAGGGGGAGAAATGACCAAAACAATGTATGCACATGTGAATACATGAATAATAAAAATAAAAAAAGAATAAGAATTATTAGAAAAATTAAAAAAAAATAAAAATAAAGTTCAGTTTCTTTATGTTTTCTTTTCACTGTGTTTTTGGTATAATATCCTATAAAACATTTCCTAACGCAAAATCACAAAGATAACGTCAATGTTTCTTGATACTAGTTTTATTAGCTTACTTCCTAAATTTGGATCTGATATTTATTTTGAATTAATTTTATTTATATTGTAAGGTAAGTATCTAAATAAATTTTCAAATGTGGATAACCACTTTATCTATCATTAGTGGTTAAAAAGATTAAACTCTATCCATGAATTATCCTGACATTCTTTAGCAGAAAAAAGAAAAGGAAAACTTCCCTGATGAATGCAGTGATAAAAGGATCTAGCACAGCTGTGAGAATAAAAATGATGACTGACTTTTCTTGACTATGTATCACAAGCCAGGAACTAATCATTTGACTATAGTAAGTAGCTCATGTCGTTGTCAGGACGACCTAATAAAAGAGGTGATGCTAAACCACATACCTGGTTGAGAAATCATGAAGCCAAAGCAAACCGAGTTCGGGTAACTTCCAAAATTCGTTATTATAATTAAACATCAAGGAAGATCCTCAGTAGAAATTTCCAGTTTTTGTATAGAAATAAACACTTTAGAAGCAGGAAACTAATTTTTAAAATTGAGTTATTCCATGAGAGACAATTGAACTAATGTCTGGCAATGCCTGGGAGTTTTCAGATAAATAAATTAAAAACATGGAGTTAGAATGTAAAGAAAATTTCCAGTTAGAATGTAGGAAGGAAGAGAAACAATACAATACATTTCCCATCAGATTTGATGATGGGGGGCAAGAGTTTATTTTTGATTCTGCATTGGGTTTTGTACACTCCCATGGGTGAAGATAAAACATGAATAAAGATTGTGAGTCTCTCAGGAATTCAAAACAGATTATGGTGGAGGATGTAAACACAATCCCCTCACTTCCATTTTCTACCTGCAACCCATTCCTTGGGAAGATAGCTAATAAGCCTTTACTTATTACCAACTACATTCATGATTACATTCACATTAAGCTTCTGCATCTAATAAAGGTAACAGGTATCGTAATAATGATGACTCTTTTTCCTCCGTTATGTGAAAGGACATAAAGCCACAAGTAGAAACAATGATCTGTAGTTCATCAAGATTTCCAGGGCACATAGAAAGTCAGTCCATGCTGTACCACTTTAGTGCAAAAGGCACTGAAGATACAAAGTTACAAATTGCCCTTCAGGATCTGTGGTGGCAAATAATGATAAAGAAACACAAATGTTTACTGGCTCAAGGATAGTGAGTTCTTGAATTCCAGATATATTACTATCTTTGTTTATTTGAGATAGAAGTTCAGTGATATAAGGTAAATTCTGTTATTTCCAATTTTGTGTAGACATGAGACTCATATAGAATTGGCTGCAGAATCTATTCAAGAGAAAACAGAGAGTGTTCAGAGGTGTTAGGGAATCAAAGTGTAAACATCATCTGTAAGTTCCTTCTTCTTGAAAAGAACTCCCATGTTCTACATTTAGAGGTGCAGTTCTTTGACATAGGGATCTTTTCTGCAGTCTGACCCATACGTTTGTATGAGAAACAATTTTTTGGATTCTCAACCCACCAGACTATTATCAGGCTTAGAATTAAGTACCATGTTGCCAAGTGTTCTATTTCTAATTTTTTAAGAGGGTGAATCAAATGAAGGAATAAGAGATGATATAAGACAAGAGAGATTTTTGTCCCATTCCACATATCTGCATTTTCTCCCTTGATTTGCAATAATGGTCATTGTGGTTTGCTTGTAGAAGCACAGCCCTTGATTCATGAGTCTAATTTGGAGAGATGCTTGTATATATTTTGCTTATCAATACTGTGATAGATAGAAGTCTATTCCACTGTGCATCATGGTCCTGGTGATTGTTAGAGGCTGTGGGTTTGCATCAGGCTAGACCTGGACACTGTCAGTGTACACACAACTTTTATGAGAAGAGACAAAATGGGAAATACTGGGGTTTCCTCTAAAGTATCTCCTTTTCCTTGTGTCCACAGATTGCCGTAAAGAAGCATGACTTTTGAAAATGGCACTTTCCTGACTGAATTTATTCTGGTAGGGTTAACAGACCAACCAGAACTACAAATCCCTCTATTCTTTGTGTTTCTAATAATTTATATGGTCACTGCATTGGGAAATTTGAGTATGATTACTCTAATTGGACACAACTCAAACCTTCACACCCCCATGTACTTTTTCCTCTTTAACTTGTCTTTTATAGATTTCTGTTATTCTTCAGTGCTTACTCCCAAAATGCTGATGAACTTTGTGGTAAAGAAGAATATAATCTCTTATGGTGGCTGCATGACTCAACTCTTCTTTTACTGTTTTTTTGTTATTTCTGAATTATATGTGTTGATGTCAATGGCCTATGACCGCTATGTGGCTATCTGCAATCCACTTTTGTATAACATTGCTATGTCCCCTAAACTGTGTTCCTGTCTTATGCTTGGTTCATACCTGATGGCATTTTCTGATGCGATGGCCCACACAGGGCTCATGCTGAAGCTAACCTTCTGTGATGTGAACATCAATGACTATTTCTGTGATATCCTGCCATTGCTCCAACTTTCCTGCACCAGCACCTATGTCAATGAGCTACTGGTTTTCATTGTAGTGGGCATCAACGTTACTTTGTCTATTCTCACCATCTTTATCTCTTATGGATTCATCCTCTCCAGCATCCTTAAAATGAAGTCCAATGAAGGCAGGTCCAAAGCCTTCAGCACCTGCAGTTCCCACATAATTGCTGTTTCTCTGTTCTTTGGTTCAGGTGCATTTGTGTATTTTAAGCCATCTTCTGCTGGATCCATGCATGAGGGAAAAATCTCTTCTATCTTTTATACCATTGTGGTTCCCATGATGAACCCCTTAATCTACAGTTTGAGGAACAAAGATGTTACAGTTGCCCTGAGAAAAACCTTGACCAGAAGAAACTTTTGATTAGAAACTGTGTCTCTCTGTATGTACTTACAAGGTATGGAGTCTCCGTTTCATTACAATAGTCAAGAAGGGAATATATTTTCCTCTTGTTTCTTGTTGTGTTGATATCAGTTAAGCACCCTTTCCATTTGCTTCAAATTCCCAACTAGGGTAGGTTTTCTTTTTCCCATCATTTGTTTTATTTTTCATTATTTTTCCCTGTTAATAATAAAATTAACTAAAATTTTATCTACATTTTTTCAGTGTCCTTATGGAGTTTATTCTTGGTAAAATGAACTATTCTGAAAATGACAATTGGAGCTCTAGGATGACATTTTGCCATTGCAGAGGGTTTTCATTTTTTTATTCTTCTGCCTGTAATTTCCTGTTGTAAACATTAATGGGATGATATGTCTCTACCATTGACTTTCTGTCTTACAGTAAGCAAGAAAAAGTCTTCTTTTAATACCAATACCTTACAGATATACAAAGTTCCAGAAGAATTATTTAATACAACCTGTTGTGCACTTGTAAGATCTATTCACTAGGCTTCTATTGGCATAATTTTCATATTTACCTCTGTTCAACAAATAGCTCATAGTAGATTACCCATACATAATTTTTGCATGGATAGCATACAGAAGCTCAGGTAGGTCAACAATTTACTTAAAATCTTATCACTTTAGTGGACAATTGAAGAGTAAACTAATAGTTCCTTCATTTCAACATACTGCTTTTAAGACAAATTTGTCTGTTATATTTTATTATATGTTTAACTAAATATGAAATGAGTAAAATATTTCCATTTCACAAATAATTATACTTTGTTTCTCAGTGACATATAAACTTATCTCATTTGTCTGTTGCTTTTTATGTTCCAGAAAATGATTTAATGCAAAGATTTCTGGACAGAAGAGCAGGCCTGTTGATCTAGGACAATTGAGAGTAAATTTGCTCATGTATGTAGCTAACTATTGTACAAAATAAAAAGAATTTGAAAGTTTTCAATTTCTGTAATTCAGAAATTAAGACTATAAGAAAGACAGGAGCCTGAAAAACATGCCTTCCGGCCAGAACACTGAAGGACCCATAGGCACTAATAAGAGATCTCTATGTAAAGAATGGTAATTGAGGTTGAGTAATTGAGTTGCAATCTGAATTTGTGTTCTATTGCAGAGTACTGTAATATCCTTACTGCCATAAAAATCTTGATAAAAATATCAGCTATAACTGCCATGCATTAGTAATGTTGGTAGAATCCATGGAGAAAAAGGAGGTACACATTTGTGAGGAAGGAGGAAGAGAAAGAACAGCAACTTCAGGGGAGTAGATGAATAGTCACTGAGATTCTAGTTAGGATTTTTTTAAACATAGGAATTTAGGAAGTAAGACATGGACAATTAAAGGTCCTAGCTATGACATTTCTCTCAGAATTGAAAGTCCCTTTAAGTTTCATAGGGATCACAGGATTTCTCTGAACAGGTTAAGGCTTAATTTTCTTGGTATCAAGAAAAGTTAAATCATGAGGGCAGGAGGACCTTGGAAAAATTAAATGATTGCTTTTTTGTGGGTTTTCAATTGCTAATTCTTGTGAATTTTTAGGTATTAGAGGATCATATTTTAGTTGAGAGAGCAATGATAATTTGACAGAAATATTTTGTGAAAGAGCTTAGGTTTTGATGATTTTTTTCAAGAATAGGATGCTGTGTTCTTTACCCTTTGAGAAAACAGTAAAATATCACTGTTATGTATTTGTGTGATTATTTATTCAACATTTGTACCTCCCCATCACATCATAAGCACCCACTCACTGCCCACTCAAAGCTCTACCCCATTCCTTTTGTGTCAGATTGAGGTCACCCCATTGCTCTGTTCATAACCTTCCAGTCGTTGACTTTCTTGTCCACGTTAGTTTCTTCTGCAATGCTGGGCAAAGACTTAATGTCTTCCTATTGTCAACTAGTCTGTTACACGCTATGGTCTATTTGACAGTCCCTAAACCTTAATTATTCTTATGGGACCAGGTCAGGTAAGCATACTTTTCTGGTTGCTGGTGCATTTTCTCAGAGAAATAAAGAATTAAATAACATTCAACAATATAAAGCAAATAAAAATGGTTAATCTGAAAATACATAATCTTTAATAAAACAATTTAAATGCTTTCTTATGTAATAATGTTTGCTACTTTACCATTTTATAATCTTCACAATATATTTAAGTATTATAAAATATAGCATAAGATTCTTTGGCTCATTTGCCTGTTTTTGGATGTTGGCATTGCTAAATCCTTGACTTATGGTTTAAAGTGACCACTCATATCCCATGCCCCAGCATAATGTTAATTTGCATGATTCTTACTCAGAAAAATTTCTGGTTATGGTTGGCCACCAGTGGCTCATGCCTGCAATCCTACCTACTTAGGAGGTTGAGACAGGGAGAAAAAACGTTTGAGGTAAAAATTTTGTACAATCCCATCTCAAGTAATAGCTAGGCAAGTTGGTGTGTGCCTGCCATTACAAGGTGTACAGGAGGTTGAGATCTGGAGGATGATGGTTCCATGCCAGTCAGCGCAAAAGTTTTCAAGACCTCATCCCAACCAAAAAAAAAAGCTGGGTGTGATATTGCACACCTCTCACCTCAGCTATGAGAGGAAGCTTACCCATTCAGGGTTACGTGAGCAAAATGTCAGATTCTATCTTCAAACTTACCAGAGCAAATAGGGCTAGGGCTGAAGGAGGGACTCCGGTGGTAGAGCATGAAGCCTTGTTTTCAAATCTCAGTATCGCCAAAAAACAAAACAAAACAATATGCTTCAGTCTTACAGAACTTCACTTTGCTACCCTGTATACACTGCTCACTGCTTCCCTACACTACCCCGCCCCCAACACACAGGATTTTAGTTGTTAAGTAATTAGCAACTTGTGGCAGTATTTTAATACATAACTCACATAAATAAGGCAAAGTAAGATGAAGATGTAGGGTGTATCTTAAAAGTGCAACACAGAATTGCAAACTATGACTGGAAAGTAACTAAAATTGTCTTATACAATAAATTTACTACTGAAATTTGATTATGATATCATGTATATTGGGGAGATTGACATTATTTTTCACTATGTCTATCATATCCGGGGATATTTCAGTTATTTCAACTGAACATCAGATGAAGTAATTTATATTTAATGTATAAGTTAATGCAAGTATATCTTTATACAGTGAAATGAGCACAATTTCTTTTTTTTCTTTTTTTTTTATTATTCATATGTGCATACAAGGCTTGGGTCCTTTTTCCCCCTTCCCCCACCCTCTCCCTTACCACCCATTATGCCCCCTCCCTCTCCCCCCCATCCCCTCAATACCCAGCAGAAACTATTTTGCCCTTATTTCTAATTTTGTTGTAGAGAGAGTATAAGCAATAATAGGAAGGAACAAGGGTTTTTGCTGGTTGGGATAAGGATAGCTATACAGGGCATTGACTCACATTGATTTCCTGAGCACAATTTATTTTTGAGGCAGAGATTCCCTCCTTCTTTAATGAGTGAGAGGCTACTAACTTGAAGTTTAATTAACTCACTACAAAATCATTATAGAGATATGCACAGAGGGTCACAATTGTCTTCAGAAAGAGCATTGAGCACAGTTTCCTCTACGTGGTCTTGTCTGTGGTATCTGCTCTCCTGGGAGAAGAACTGGGTATCATCTCTGGAGGAAATCTTAGTTATGACTTCATAGACGATAGGTCTGATGTTCAGAAATGTTCATGGCTTGTTGTAAATCACAATTCACAAGTTATAGAGCTGAGATTGGGACTTGCATGTTTTGAATCTAAATCAAGCATTCTTCTAAAAAAGTATATACTTAAAAATAAATATGCTAATGTATTTTGTGAATTGAAAGCTCCTGGAGCACAAATAAGAGCAAGATATCACCTAAAAGAAAGATCCAAAAATAATCCTTAATTGTTCAGTTTACAACTGTATTGTCTAATTTAGAATCTGTGAATATGTTATTAATTTAGAATGATTTATACAATAAATAGAAAGAGATAAAAGTGGCCTATATCATAGTTACAGTTTTTATGCATCTCCTCAGTCTTAGATAAACATTAAATCTTTCTTTTCAGTATCTTGTTATACCTCACATTGCTGATTTTTGACACAATTATGTCTTAGAGGTGGCTGGTCTTTACCTGGCCCTCCAGTACACATTGTCCTCAGTGTTTTCTGGAGTGATGCATCTTGTGACAGTTGCAGACAGGATGGACAATACTACAGAGTGAGATTGTGTCTTTTCCATTTTGTCTGTGGGTGGGCTGGATGCTGATGGCAATGAGACCCCATTTATGTGAAGAAGTTTTAAAGAAAAGCCAAAAACTGATTTCAACAGTGTCAGAATGGAGAAGGGAAGAAAGGATCCAGCTACATTAAAAAAGAGACACACAGAGGGATCTGTTATGTAGGCAATATTTTATTTATAAACCTGAACAGTGGTTAAGGTGTCAATTTTATAATAGGTGCATGTGTACAGAATTCATAAATGTTGTATCAATGGCAAACTTAATAGTATCATTAATTGTTTCCAAACTGTAACTACAGTGTAGCTCAAGTGAGCAATCTACTAACAGAAAAACAAACATTTTGGGTACATCTTTCATAAACATTTTTCCAATCATTATTTATAATTTTTTTCATTATCTAATTGCTAAATTGTTGTTAAATATGTTACATAAAATTTCTCATTTTATTCAATTTTGGCAATACTGGGATTTAAACTCAGGGACTTTTGTTTACGTCTTATACCCATTTCATCTTATCTCATTTTATTCTTGCCATTTTAATTTTTTTACATTTTTCATATATTATTTTTGTACTGGGGGTACATTGTGACATTTACAAACTTTCTTATAATATATCATAGTTGAATTCACCCCCTCCATCATCCTCACTTATCCTCCTTTCTCCATTTCTGAAATAGTTTCAACAGGTCTCATTTTTCCATTTTCATACACGAATGAATAATAT